ATCCTGGCCTGCATATAAAATTTAGGAGGGAAGAGTTGAGAGATGACCAAGATTATGTTGGCATCTTAGGTTGTAGGAAAGATTTGTAAAAATGCATGAGGACATATAATGAGATAGGTGCTTATCTGTATTTGGCTACATCTTAAGTTGCTAAAATGGGCTTTGTAAATCAGTCTCCCACTGCTTTTGGTTTTCCTCTTTACTGTTTGTCTTGCCTGCTTTCCCTTAACATCCATTTAAAGGGAGACCTGGGTGGCTTATGGGAATTTCACACTGTCTTTGCAGTGTTTCCCTGCCCTGTGCCCTCCCCGCTCGCTGTGAAAGCCGTGCTCTTGGGAGGGTCCGCTGGAATGGCATGTGTGCACAGCCATCTCCTGGCTGCTCGCTGGAGCTGTGCTTGGACTGTCCCGTGCAATGAACAGGAGGTTGGTTTGGGGAATATTCTCGTTAGATTTTGTGGAAGTAACGCATCAGGTCGAGTTCTGCACTGAGACAGTAACTCTTTGCATTCAGTTTAGGTTTGTGATGCTTAATTAAAATAGCATGGCTGTGGGTCTGCATTTCACCACCCTGTGCTGGGCAAAAGAACAGGTAAAGAGCAGCATTATATCTTTTGCATGCCCTTTGCTTCTGGCTGACTAACTCAACCATTCCTCCTTCAGGGAAGGGGAACAAAGATTAGCTGTATCCTCTGTTTCCTCCCATTCTGCACTCCAGGATATACCCAGGGCAGGAGAGAGACCACCTCAAGACCACTGGCACTGGGGTAGCAGCAAGTCGTTCTGATAAAACACTGCTGGTGGCTTCATTGGGCCAGAGAAAACCAGACAAGTCAGCGTGGGGTCGTCCTCCCCATGCACTTGTGTCCCAAGTACCCTCTACTCGTATCAGCCACCCTGGGTGACATGGAAAAGGTTTGGTGTGCCAGCTACAGCATGCCCTGTGGTTATGGTCCTGAGGTCAAACATTTTGTATTTGTCTTAGGTGACTTAATGAACATGTTCGCATGGTGCAAGGCAGCATTGCCTCAGAGATTTACGGGCTTCAGTATAGGGAAAATGGGAAGGTGTTCTGTCTGCACTTCTAGCCATGTGGCTACAGGGGTGACTGAAGAGGTGGACAATCGACAAATTAATCTAAAATGAATCCAATTGAAACAAAGAAAATAAATCCTTCATGAAACGTGTCGTGCTATCAGTAATTCATTGTTAGAAAACAAAAGCAGATGATTCCATCAGCTGCCTTGCTGTGTGTGACCTTGGTTTAGCAGGCAGGTGAAGCTGGGAGCGGTGGCCTTATCTTGGCATGTCTCTGGCTTGGCCATTCAGAGTCAGTAAGACTAAGAATGGTGAAGCTCTTAACAGTGTATTTCTTTCCTGCAGCTATTATGTTTTACTGATGAGTCAGTGCATTTTAATCTAATGGGGAATTTTTTAGTACAGCTGAATCAAAAGGTTTGAGTGGATGAAAAGGAGGAGAATATCATCAAGGAAATCTCTGCAGCTTGGCATCGAGCTTTGTTGGCAGCCAAGGGCAGCTTAATCAGTATATTTGGAAAATCCTGCTTCCTGATAAGTAAGGGGTTTGGAGAAAAATACTCAGTGATGCTCATTGAGGCATTCATTGTACATTTCGTTGTTTGTATAGCCCTATTGTCTCGCTGTACAACCGTAGTTAAAGGAGTAGTGCTATTAGTAGGAATTAACGTTGTTAATTTCTGCTGTTGTAATTTGTGAGATCTTCTCAAATAAAGCTGCTATTTCCATTCTACCCAGATCTATTATTTGCTTCTCTCTGCCCTGAAATTCATGGCTTAGTGACTAGGAAGGTGATTGCATAGAGCTAGGCAGGATTTCCTCTTTCAGAGGAAATCTACTGTCTCTGTGATTTGTTAGACTCCCCCACACACCCAGCTATTCCTAAAACCACTATAAGTGGGTTTGTGTGAAAAGTTGGGGGGTGGGGTGGATATTAATGCCTTGAGATTTCTGGAGGAGTTGGCAGTGATGACATTGATGACTTCCAGCCCAGTGAGGTGATCTGGTAGGGTAGAACCGATTAACTGTGAAAGAGGAAACCTGGGAGTACAAAAGAACTCGTGTTTTGATCCCATTATTGCTCTGAATGTGCTTCAGACTAATTGTGAAACTCAACTACTTCTGCTCAGGGATTTTGACCTGCAGTTGGAGGGGCACATACCCAGGTAGAACTAGTGTTAAAAATCTCCACATCTGTCCCCGTTGCCCTTTAAGGAAAAAAAGAGACATGTAATTGCTAAGGGCTCCAATTCACGTTCCCTCTTGGCTTTATCTGCAGCTGCTGAAACGCTCCTCAGCTGCTGCAATTCACAGACTGGCACATCAAGTTAAAGCATCACGTATCGGTAGTTTATATTAAACACACTGGACCGAAAACTGGCAGCTGAAGAGCCTGTTCTGCCAACGGTGGGGATACAACCTCCATGGGGAGGCTGGGGGAGAAAGCACGCAGCTCGGGTATAACCCTTCAACCCCCCCAGGTAAACCTGCCCCAGGTAAATTCTGCCCAAGATAGTGACTCAGAGCCCCACATCTAACCTCAACTGCTCATTAAACTTACTGGGACTTAACATGATGAAGTAAGAGCTGCTCATAGCCACTGAGTTGCAGGTGATGTAATAGATAAAAGCCCACATGGAATTGCTGTGTTTGGCTCTCTTTGGTGCCACTGATGAAGCTGCTTTCAGACAGGATGGGAAAGCACCCAAACTCTTCTGCTGAGAAGCAGATCCTGCTGCTGCCAGTGATCTGTGAGTTTGTGTCAAATTAAAGTTCATGCTGACAAATAAATTCCTTTAACCTCCTTTCTACGTTGCTATGAAAAAGCCCTGCAGAAAAACCTGGAATTCTTCACATTCATGATAGTTTTGCATTATCTTTATTATGAAGGGGCATATTGCAAAGCGGTCTTCAGGATCTGTAACAGCCTTTGGTAGAAGGGGCAGGGATGCAAAACCTACAAACTCAAGGTGGAAAGTGATGGGTCCATGGGAAGGGCTGTGACACGCTTACAGTATAGTAGGGGCCAGGACTCGATGACATTAAAGTGCCTCCAGCACTGTGTTCCCATAGGAACCACAGTACAATTCTTAGCAGAGCGTGGCCTCCTTTACGGTCAGGTCTGGGAAAGCAAGGTTTTTTCATAGAACTGTTAATAGTAACGTTAGGGGATTTACAGTCTCTCTTCACCTTGGGTATTTCCTGGCTGTCGGTTCATTTATGGTTCTAATCAATTTTGGGAAGAGGATTTACTGTCAGAAACAGGAGTCTCTCCATGCGTTTCTTGTACTCGCCGGTAATAGTGTATCTGAGAGAGAAGTTCTGTTTGCCTGCACTGTTGGTACACGTGACTCTTACTCTCCTTCCAAAGATCCATCTGGATTTTTCTTTTGAGTAAGATCTCTCTTTCTCTTTGTTTCAGTTTTGAAATCTTCAGAGCAGTTCGTTTTAAACACTGTACTGGCTCACACACCCCCCTACACACATTTTCCAGTTTTCCTCGGTAGTCCTCTGTCAGTGGCCGAAAACTACATAGAGAACAAAATAGGGAGAGCATAGGTGGGGTTTTCAGACTTAAAAACGTCTTATCTTTTATCAAAGGGAAGTTGTCTTTACTCACACTTTGGCAAAACAAAGTGTTAAAGAAGCTCTGAGACGTGTCATCTTTCAGAGAACATCCTGCTTTTTGTGCCTTGATTTCTAGCACCTTGTTTTCTGGGGATGAGCAATTTAGAGCTGCGTCTCCCCTAACCCCAGAGCTCCTGGGGCTGTCCTGGCCATTCATGGAGTGTGCTGAAACGGATCCAAGGATAGAGATGTTGGCAAACATTGCTACACCTGGAGCCTGCGTTTTCACCTGGCAGTAGCCAAGGCAGCAAATAACTATAAAACATGTTGAACTGGTCACAACGAGTGTAACCAGGATTAACACGATTCTTTTCAAACAGCAATTTGTTCTTCTGTTTTGAGTCATTTCATTTAAAAGGTCTTGAGTGACCTATAACAGATGAAGTAGCTATGATTAGGTATATTCCACGATTGCACAACTGTCCATCTGCTCTGCTTTTCTGCATAATCCTGGTTGAAAGCTCCAGCACTGTGCACGCCACCGAGGCTGGGGATATGAGGGGATGGTATCACACGCTTTCTAAGTGCCTGTGATCATGAAGGCGTCCAACTGCCTCGGTTGATGAGTCACCCTGCAATGAAGGAAGGAACTCTTCGAGAGAAGGAGTTTACAAGGTTTTTACACATATGGCCAGACTAAATAACTCTAGTCTGGTGTGATATAGCAGAAACCAGCTGTGAAACAAAGATCAGAACCTTTTTAAAATCCAAAGCCTTTGGAAGGAGGAGAAAAGCACATCTGGGGAAGTAATTGCAGATTTTTCTTTTGCTCCTTCTCCCCTCCTTCTTTTAAACTCATACC